CCCGGCCATTTTTTAGTTGCAGCCATCATTGTTCTTTGGCGGGCTGGGCTGGGGATTCGAACCCGCCACCTTAGGTGCATGTGGCTGGCGCCTTAGCCACTTGAGCCACAGGCGCTGAGCCCAATAATATTCTAAACTCAATGATATTAAGCTTATTTTCAACTGAGCAAGCATGGGAAAGGTATAGCTCTGCGTAAGTCTGAAAGGTTGATGCTTCTCAAATGCAATGAGAAGTCTCAGTGGCTGGCACCGCATAGAGCTAAATGTACAGGAAGTCCTACAGTGAACCCCAACCCCTAAAATATCCACAGGCAGGTACTGCTGATCTGGGCCTCTTTCAGATCATAATAACTATCTATCTATAAAAATTTGGGATGTGCATACTATAGATCCTATAGACTATAGGATCTGAGATACGAAAAGGAGATGATAATGAATCTTTCCATTTCCTAAGCCTTGACACCCCTCTGGCCTCTTGGTCATACCCTCCCTTTTCCCTGATTTCCATTTTGGAGCTTTAGTTTTGAGGAAGGTATGGGAAGGGAAAGGGAAGGAATCTAAGAAGAATGGAAGAATTTTCAAAAGCAGTTAACAGGAAATATTTAGAATATATTTAATATACAAAGGGTAAATATCCCCATATATATGGAGCTCCCACAATCAATAAGATAATCCAATTAAAAATAAACAAATAATATACTTAATAATTTGTCATTCCATTAAAAATATATAAAATAATTAAACTCTGACATAAAAAATGAGATATCATTTCATTAGCAACAAAGATCTAAACACAGGCCAGGCCTAGTGGCTCATACCTGCAATCTCAGCACTTTGGGAAGCTGAGACAGGAGAGTCCCTTGAGCCCAAGGAGTTCGAGAACAGCATAGGCAACGTAGCAATACGCCATTTCTAACAAAGGCTAGAAGGTAGCCTTTTGGCGTGGTAGCCTATGCCTGTAGTCCTTCCTAGCTACTCAGGAGGCTGAGCCAGGAAGATCGCTTGAGCCTGAGAGCTGGAGGTTGCAGTGAGCTGTGATCACACCATTGCACTTCAACCTGGCCGAAGTGTATAAGACCCTGTCAAGTGCACAGTTAGACTCATTCACACATCAGTCACCTACTAAGTACCTACTATGTGTCAGTATGTTCTAGGCTTAGGTGTGAAGATAAAAGATGGTCCTGCCCAAAGGAACTGATCTGTGCAGGTCAGAGATGGACCAATAATTAGGTAATTTCAGTACAGTGTGATCTTGGTGCTGTGAAGACTCCCAGAAGATTACTGCTTTTCATAGCTTAGTTATATCTGATTCTGCTTAGAATCTTAGTTATACTCACAAGATCTCAGAAACTTGTGAGATCTTTCTAGCTTCAGTAGAATGAGCTAATATTCAGAGTTGGCAACAATGTGGAGGAAAAAGCATCTTCAAACCTTTTTGGGAGAGTAATTTGGCACTATTTATCTATAAAAATTTAAGGTGTACATACTCCAATGACTCAGTATCTATAAGTCTAAACTACAGGAAAAAAATTGCAGGAATATATACAAATGTATATTTAGAGATATTCTCTGATGTATTACTTGTGACACCAAAACATGATAAACAAAATGCTCATCAATATAAAGAGAGTTAAATAAATTATAGCATTATGGCTCAGTGCCTATAGATCAGCAGTTAGGGCACCAGCCACATACACTGAGGCTGAAGGGTTCAAACCCGGCCCAGACCTGCTAAATAACAATGACAACTACAACAACAACAAAAATAGCCAGGCATTGTGGCAGGCCAGGACACATTTCTTAATAGGTTTGTTCAGTCAGAAAGATAAAATTACTAATAAAAAGTTTAGGTAGTCAGCACAAAACGTGAGCAGTTTCATGTTCAAAAGGATGTTTCAATCAACTATGGTAACTTGAATGAGTTCCTTTCCCAGCTACTAGGGAGGCTGAGGCAAGAGAATCACTTAAGCCCAAGAGTTTGAGGTTGCTGTGATCTGTGATGCCATGGCACTTTATCGAGGGTGACACAGTGAAACTCTGTTTCAAAGAAAATAAAAATAAAATAAATTATAGCATCATTACATAGCAATTCACTATCTATTTGTGATTTATTCATTAACAGAATCTATTCTTTAATATATTCACAGAGTCACATTAAAAGCTATTCATTATCTATTCATTTAAAAAGTTATATATTGGCTCGGCGCCTGTGGCTCAAGGGGCTAAGGCGCCAGCCACATACACCTAAGGTGGCGGGTTCAAATCCCCAGCCCGGGCCCGCCAAACAACAATGATGGCTGCAACCAAAAAATGGCCAGGCATTGTGGCGGGCGCCCATAGTTCCAGCTACTTGGGAGGCTGAGGCAGGAGACTCGCTTGAGCCCAAGAGTTGGAGGTTGCCGTGAGCGTGATGCCATGGCACTCTACCCAGGGGGATAGCTTGAGGCTCCGTCTCAAAAAAAAAAAAAAAAGTTATATGTTCATTAAAAGGATAAGGTAAACCTACAGGTGCTGAAAAGAGACCACAATTTTTAAAAAGTTAATATTTCTGTATATATGTACATTTAAGAGACCAGAAGGTCATGCACCAGACTGTTACAAGCAAACACGTTATCAGAATGTTACTCTTTGATATTAAAGCTAAAAGGATAGGCATTTTTCATCTCTATGCATAATAAACCAGAAAGAAAAAAATTAAAAGGACTATTTTCCACTATCTGGGTAAATTACCCACTATAAATGATATTTCATAAATAATCTACTGAAACTAGAAACATCTCACAAGTTTCTGTCAAGCAGAATCAGATATAACTAAGCTATGAAAAGCAGTACTCTTCTGGGAGTCTTTACAGCACCAAGATCACACTGTACTGAAATTACCTAATTATTTGTCCATCTCTAACCTGCACAGATAAGTTCCTTTGGGCAGGACCATCTTTTATCTTCACACCTAAGCCTGGAACATTCCCGACACACAGTAGGCACTTAGCAGGTGACAGACATATGAGTGAGTCTAACTGTGCACTTCCCAAGAAATGCGGACATAGACTATGGTGGTCTGGAACTTCTTGTGCCAATAAGTCCATGCCAGCCGGTCTGTCATGCTATCTAGAAGAAGGAGGTATGCACATTCTATGACAAGCATCTGTTATTGAGACAAAAGACACTCAAATAAAGAAGGGAACTCATTCAAGCTACCACAGATGATTGAAACATCCTTTTGAACATGAAACTATTCACGTTTTGTGCTGAGTACCCTAACTTTTTATAAGTAATTTTATCTTTCTGACTGAACAAACCTATCAGGAAATGTGTTCTGGACAAAACACAATGATTGGTGCTAGTTACACTACCAGACAGAGCTCCCACTCTCAGCTGCTCTGTTCTGGTTTGACTGATTGCTCAGAGCCCAGTGATCCCAGTGAAATGAATGACAGGTGCAAAGCTTGCAGGAGTCAGTAGGCTTCTCCGCTACCAGCAATACCTGGAGGCCCCAAAGCTTCACAAAACCATGGATTTCACATAAACTTACTTCTTTTTTTTTTATAAACTTACTTCTTACAGGCCCTTTGCCGCCTTTATTGTTGGATGTTTCTTCATCAAACTTTGGATTGTTAAGTAAATTGTGTACTCCGAGGACAGCTAAAAACAAAGACAATCAGTGAATGAGCATTAAATTTGGAGAGACATGTTAGGATGTCTATGCTGTTAATTTGCCCCTTTACAACAGAAAGATAAATCTCCGACTCCTCTTTGCTGGCACAGTGTGTGATACATGTGTAGTATTAAGTAAACATATTTAAAAAACCTCCTTCCATGACTACCAGCAATCTTCACTTTTCTTTCTACATCTGAAAACGTGGAATCATTTAAGATCTCAGGAATGACAGCCTAGTTATGTCCACAATTTACTTAAAAAACTGCTTTAGACTTCCTAATTAAGTAGACACAACCCTTTGGTTTTTTCATCTGTTAAATGAGAAGAGGGGACTGAGCCTAAGGATTTTTAAGATCTAACATTATGTAGATTATGGCATATATTTTTCTAGAGCAGTGGTTCTCAACCTGTGGGTCACGACCCCTTTGTAATAATGAAAATACATCAGGAGGTACCTGTAGCTCAAAGGAGTAGGGCCGGAGGTGGCAGGTTCAAACCCAGCCCCGGTCAACAACTGCAGGAAAAAAAAAAATGAAACTACATCACAGCATTAGGAAGATTGAGAACCACTGTTCTAGAGGCAAATACAGGAAGTTTGTGGGCCTCTTTCAGTGTACACCTCCCTATCTCTCAGTACTAAAAGATGTCCTTTCCCCATGTAAAGCATTCCAGGGTGAAAAATAAAAGAGACATCAGCAAAAAAAAGGTCAGCTGAGCACAATGAGGTTTTTAGTTTCTTGTATTACACAGAGCTTGCACCAGGAGGCAGCAAAGTATGCAGGAAACAACCTGGGCGTGGTGGAGGAGAGAATGAATGGTGGGCAGTGGGCAGGCTGAAACTGCAGCTGCCCACACAGATCTCCCTTTGCTAAGGAAATTACAGGTGAGATGGCCACCTGGAGAGGGGTCCCTGAAGAGATGATCACCTGTGGACAGGTGGCAGAAGACTGTCTCTGAGACCACTAGTTCTACCATAAGCTACACATCAGAAGGAAGGAGGGGGTGGCGCCTGTGGCTCAAAAGGGTAGGGCGCCGGCCCCATATGCTAGACGTGGCAGGTTCAAACCCAACCCCAGCCAAAAAAATATGAAATAAAAAATAAAGTGTCCAAAAAAAAAGAAGGAAGGAGGCAGCAAAGCATGAGGAAGGACAAATGGTTAGAGCTAGCAAGGTATGTGGGGAAAGAGGCGGGCTCTGGAGCAGCCAGCCACAGTTTGAATCCTGACTCCTTCATATGCTAACTGTGTGACTTGGGAAGTTGCAAAATGTCTGAGTCTGAGTTTCCTCATCTGTGAAATGGGATAATAATTATACTTTCTTCCTGCAAAGATTAAATGAATTCTTATGTATCTGTCAGGCACTGTTCTAAGTGCTTTGCAAACTCTTGTTAAATAAATTAGAATCTGCCACTGTGTCTCTGGCATTGTCTAGGGAGAAAGTATCCTATTTAATAAACACTGGCCACTGAGACCATAAACATACCTTCTTTCTCTGGCCCCATGCTCACCCAACAACGTCTCATGATAATTTGGCTCCCATTACCAACTTGTAATTTTTGGTTATCTGTTATCTGTGAATCTGGCTAGTGGATCAGGTACTACCACACTCCACTCCAATCTGGTTGATTCTACATAAACTAATAAGATCAAATCTCTAGACCAGCAGAGCAGAGAACTAGATTCTGGATGGTGACGACACTAAGAAAAGGACAGTCTGTGTGACCCATTGTCATTACCTTGATGAACTGTTTGCTCTCTGTATGCCACAATAACATGGGCAATACATCAACACTCTTACCTAAACCTGAACGGCTGTCAGCCCATCACTCAAGGGGGTGCCCTCAGTCTTCCAGAAAGCTGCCCCCCACCCCAGCCTGGCTTCCTCTTGAGTTCCTAGGGAGCAGATGATGAGGGAAAGAGACTGAGTAAGGATGAACAAGGGACAGTTTTCTTTTTGAATTACCTCCTTGGTTTTACTGTATGAATTTCAGGATCTAGGATCTTCCAAATGTTGGTATTTTTCTCTTTCTCCTTTCTCAGGACTTTCCTGGGGATTCAAGTCCAGTCCTGTATTTCCCTTTGGGCAATGTCTCAACCCTTGGGAGGTACAGTAACCGTAACAAGATCCCTCCATAGTAACCAGAGGGCTTAAGACCAGTCACTGTCAAGCACCTTCTTTACTAGGGGATACAAGTCCCTCAATTCTTGCGGTGACCTCTGAGAGAGGTTCAGATATGTGAACTTAATTATCAACCACTGATTTCATCACAGAAGGAATGAAAACATAGCTGGGATGGTCAGCTGTATTAGAATTAGATGGTTCTCCTGGGAGGAAGGAGATTATTATTATCTATGTCTTCCAATGGAATTAGAATGAGAATCCTTGCTAAAGCTATGGACTGTTGTTTTTTTTAATTTTTTTAAATGTCAGAATAATGTTGAGAGTACAAACAACTAGGTTACAATATCTGGATTTGTTAGGTAGAGTCCCCCTTGTAGTGTGTCCCCAGACTGGTGTTTAAGGTACTGTTTTCCTCTGGTGACTAATAACCTGTATGTGGGTGGCAGGGTAAGATTTAATGTACAAAGATGCTGGTACATACAGGGAATTTTTCTCAAAGGTTATACAAGATACGGGAGAAGGCCTAGATAATTAGTCTCATAAACACATTTCAGTACATATTCTTGTATTCTTTGAACTTTTTAATGTGTGCATGTAAAATCAATTACAAGAATTATTACCACATTACTATTGTTAAGAAAACTAGAAAGCCAACAGACCTGTAGGTGTAAATCACAATGGAACTTAACTGTGGAGAAGGGTGAGAGATCATAAAAATTTTGTGATGATAAAATGTCAAATGGAAAGCTCATTATAAAGCATAAGGGTTTTTTTAAATTATTATTTAAGTTCTCAACACTCCTTCACATTTGTTCCCTTTGATTTCTCACAGCAGCTCTTGAATTTTGTAGGATAGGTATTATTTGGGCATTTTATAGCTGAGATATAGCAAAATAATATTTGCTCAGAGGGGTTAAGTCACTTGCATCAAATCTTACAGCTACACGAGGCCAGAGTCAACGTGGTATCCCAGTGAATAATGAATAGCCGACAGAGAAGCTCAAAGGCTGCTGCTGTGGGCACCAGCGCACACCTGGAGGCTACAGAGCCAGACAGGACAGTTTCCAGAGCAGAGGACTAACCTGCAAGATCGTAGAGTTCAGTGTCAGAGGCGCTGGCCAAAGCTTCTTCCAGTTCTGGGTCAAGGGTCACCTTTTCTTCTTTACGAGTTTCTACCGGCTTTTCTTTGGGTATAAAGACTCTCCCTTTAAACCAGAAGAAAAAGAGTATGGTGTGCCACTTCCTTACTGGTAGAGTAAGCGGACTGAGCACAGAATGTAGTTCTGGCCATTAAGACTCATATTGTTAAGCCATTTTGTATCCAACTGATTCCTGAATCACAGGAATGGTGCCAATGTGAACAATCCACTACTGAAGGGAAGGAACACTGGAAGAGGAATCCTACAGTTTGCCACACAGAGATCTGAGACTACAGTCCTTAAACACAGTGGGAGCAGGTGGCTTCTACCTCTCTGCTATTGGCAGCACTGCCCTTAGGCCTGGGCAGGAGGGGCCCTGCCCTGGGCCCCACACTTTAGAGGGCTTCACTCCAGTCTTTCTCTGGTTGTATCTCTCCCCACTAAAGAAGAAGCCAAAGGACCAAATGGATATTCCTACTCAGCATACAGGGCCACCTGCTAGATCACACTCCAGGGACTTGTGACCCTGGAGTTCCCTGCCCAAAGAGCCCTGAGCCTGTTTCCAGGGCCTGCACAAGCCGCTTGCCCTGGCCTTCCTCCTAAAGGTAGGGCACATGGCTAGGGTGTGGGCCCCAGGCCAACAGAGGCTGCTTGTTGGCGGAGCATGGATGAAGCTCAGCTACGTAGGCAGGGGAGGAGGGGGTGCAACATGTGAGTTTGAGGCCCTGGCAGGGTGGGACAAACATCCCTGAATAGAACTCTTGGAAGTCCAAGAATATTGGCCTTCTAGGTATATTTGTAGAGGGCCATAACATATTTTAACAGTTGGTTAGCTTTTAAATATTTAGAAAGAATGGCATGTGGGTTTCTATTTGTGTTCTTGCCTTAGGCCCTGCCAATATTGGGAATGGGTTTATAAACATAGCATCAGGGGGACAAACTGGCAACCCCCCACGGTTGCCCCCACTTAAATTGGGATTGTAGATCACTAGGATGCTCTATCTGGGGTCAGCTGGACTAGTGTGGTGCTTGGAACCAGATACCTCTCTGAAGTACACCAAAGCGGGCCTGATTTTAAGGAAAAATCAGGGTTGCTATTCTTAGTGTGAGAGTCCGTGAGAGCAAACCATCCAGTGCCTCCCACAGATGCGTTCTCTGCCACTGGCTCCCACTTCATCCTGTCAGTCACATTCCCTTTATTTTTTCTCCTACTCACTCCTGAAAATGCTGGTATTTACATCCCACCCCCAGCCCAGACTTCCAGACTGATGGATCCTATCTCTGGGAGATTACACAGTACCTGCTTCTGACTTCCAGCCCGGCCAGCACTTCCCCATCCCACACGTGCAAAGGCTGACAAAGGTAAACTCAGCATATTCTAGAGCCATCATCACAATAGCTCAGACCACTCATATTCTTTTTCAGTGATTTACAGCTTTTCTTTTCTTTTTTTTTGAGACAGTCTCAAGCTGTCACCCTGGGTAGAGTGCCGTGCTGTCACAGCTCACAGCAACCTCATACTCTTGGGCTTAGGGGATTCTCTTGCCTCAGCTTCCCAAGTAGCTGGGACTATAGGCACCTGCCACAACGCCCAGCTATTTTTGTTGTTGTTGCCATTGTTGTTTTAACTTGCCCAGGTCAGGTTCAAACCCGCCAGCCTCAGCGTATGTGACTGGCACCCTACCCACTGAGCTATGGGCACCGCCAATTTACAGCATTTGACTCTTGGTTTCTCTCTCTTTTTTCCTTTTTTTAAAAGAGATGGGCTTTCGCTATGTTGCTGAGGCATGGTTACTCACAAGCATGATCCTAGTACAGATAAGCAGAAAGTATTGGCCTGCTCCATTTCTGAACTACGCCAGTTCACCTCTGTTTAGGGAACCTGGTGGTCTCCTGCTCCTGGGAGGTCACCACACTGATGACAAACTTAATGGGGATACCCTGTGGGCATGGCATACTAAACCCCAGATGGCTCAAGCAATCCCCCTGCCTCGGCCTCCCAAGTAGCTGGGACCACAGGCGCTCGCCTTCATGCCCAGCTTTCTCTCTTTTTGGAGCTGCTCCTCCTTCTTGGTCATAGTCTTGGAAATTAGTCTCCTTCATTTTAATCTTTGGAGTTCCCTAAAGATTCATCCCACTATAGTCACCTCCTATTTGTCCCCCTGATTAGAGCAGACAGCTGGCTCTAGCTTCAGCCAATTAGGACCCAAGCTCTCTACAGGTTATCTTGGCTAGCCTAGCCCACTCCATGCCTATGGTGTAGGAGTCAGACCGAAAGTCAGTAACTCTCCCTCATGAATGCTCTCAAAGAGACTTTCTTGATTATGAGGGCTGTGTACTTCCTGATGGTTTACCATATTGTCAAATGGCTGGATAAGCAAGTGGGAGCCAGTCAGAGCTGGGCAGCTCAAATGGAGGAAAGAGACACTGCTTGTGATTAGCCTGTGACATCCTGGCAGCAAGGTCTCTATCACTCGCAAACATCCAGATTCCCGCTTGGTATCACATAAACTGCCACATATCCCAGTGAAAAGGAACTTGTCCTGGGAAACAAAGTAGGAGGATGGCCAGAAGATAGAAAATGGAAAAAAAAAATCCAACTGATCACTAACATGTCAGACTTTGGAGTTCACATTTTCTATCTAGCTGAGATGATCTTGGGTCTAAAGTCAAAATAGGTTTTCTAACTTGCTCTTTCCTGGTACTATTTAGGATTACTCTAAACACGAGGTGCACAGGTGGCCCAACAACTACCAGTATTCAGGATAACTGTTGATACAGATCCACTCCTGGGGGTCCAACCAAACAATAAGTTCTACACAAAAATAAGCTGCACTGAAGAGTCCAACCCAGCCCAGGATCTGAGGTCCCGGCACAGCACAGGCAGGACTGGGGCTGTGCAGCCGGTCTCCTGAGGACCACGTGATAGCCTCACATTGCCCCTCGGTCGTCTCGTTGGTCTTTCTGGGGACCCTGCATAATTCTCAACTCTGATTCCACTGCTGTGTTTGGAAATGTTGCTCTCTGGTCATTTTATTAACTTGTGCTTTTTCTTTTTCTTTTTTTATTAAATCATAAACACATAGATCATGTATATATTAATGCATTTATGGGGTATGTACTGATTTCATATAGAATTAGGAATGCTTATATCACATTGGTTAATATATACCTCATCTCGTTTACTTAATTATTGTGTTAAGACATTTATACTCTGGCTCGGCGCCTGTGGCTCAAGCAGCTAAGGCGCCAGCCAC